TTTCAGTGAATTATCAAAACTGATAGGCTTTCACAGACTAAGAACTATAGTATGCCATCCACCCATGAAATAGAGATTTGGTCATCCCAACTCAGTGCAAGGTTGACTTGAGCTCGACCATCTTTACCTGTTCTTATCCTTACTTCCCATGAATTATTTCTGAACTAAAAAGGAAAACAGACATACTCAAGAGATATTTAATTTTATTTCAATACATTCAGTATAAAAGAAATAAATATCTGGAGCAGAAACACAAGTTTTTTTGTATACTTCTTCTATCTTTGTTTATATATTACACATGCAGCTTCACCTCAAAAATACACACAAAAACTACAATCTTCTTAACATCCACAGACACTTACTCTGATGTTAAATTTGCAAAGAAACAAACATTTATTACAAAGACAAAAGTATTTTTCACAATATAATAATTGTACAAAATTACAATACCAGCTTTGCACAAAATTTTCCTCAAATTACCAAGGCAGGTGAATTGTTCTTTCAAATACAAACCAGTTTTCTCTTAGAAAAGTAAATGTTTTCCTTAACAACAAAAGGATTTTAAAAACTTTCTTTTTAGAGCAACAGTTCATATAAAGCTTCTTCTTAGTAACAAAACAAATTTACTTATTTCGAAAAGTTCACAATTCAAAATGTTGCTGGTTCAAAGGTGAAAGTTGAAGTTCAAAGGGGTGAGAGTGAGAAAATGTTAACCTACCTCAGCAAAACTGTTTTTCTGAAGTCCTTTTGACAAATATTTAGATTTTTGGAACAGGCATCCTCAAATTTGGGATAAACTCTAATGGGTTTATGAAAGTCATTCATATTATGAGAATTTAGAAGTTTATTCATCTCTCTTCATTAACAGTGATAATGGTGGCAGGCTTTTATCATCCCAGGTCACTTTCTTTTCTCAGCAGCGGCAGACTTTACATGGTTAGAACTTCCTAACCAGATGACAGCCACTTGCCTGAGTGGCTCAATCCATTTTCATCAGCAGTAGCAGCCTTTCACCCAAGTATGGTCTATCCATTTCTGTCTTTGCTGACAAAAAAAAAAATAATCTAACAGTTTCTAAAAGGAAAAAAAAATCAAAATTCTTTTAAAAGAAAGTTCACACTTGAAAATGGAATTAAATTTGACATTTTTTGAATCTTCAAACCTGTCTTTATTTAAAAGACACTCTTGTGACGAACGACAACAGGAGAAATTGCACTAAAAAATTACAGTGCCTGGAAAATTCAGTAATTTTGACAAGGTAGGAAAATTCGGTAACTATGAAATGAAAGTCGATTGAAAATTGATTTTAGGGTCATTCTGGAGTGAGGATTTGGGGGATGAGGTTATATAGTTTTTGTTTCTTTAAAAAGAAATATCTAAAACTTAATTTATTTAATATTTTTTATTAAAATAATAATTTGAAAGGAAGATACAAGAACTTAATTTTAACTTAAATCGATTTTATTTGCTTGAAAGTAATAGAGTATAGTAAATAAATACTTATTTAAAAAATATTTATTTTGTTGCAGGCATATACTTGTCATTGAGTGTTTAGGTGGAAAACCTATATAATTATCCCACGACAAAAATGGCAGACTCAGTAGGTGAGTCTGGGTAATAAAATAAAAAGAAACAATTAAAACCAATATACACGAATTACATTGTTCGGACTATCGTCTTCGTCTTTGTTGCCATATTTATCAAAACATTTTGGCCATGGTACACTCCAGCATTCTTCAGGTGGTTGGAATGTCAAATTGAACCCTTTATTTCGCTTGCTGGGGTAGACTGTTCTAGTTCCACGTGCCATGTCTAATGGATGTCAGTTATCAGTTATCTCTGTTAATTCTTCAATTTTTTCCAACTAAATTAAAAGGATATTCAACTTATCTTTGGGTCCTGTCACTTTATCCACTGACGTTGGTTAGATCCAGTGACAGGACCCTAAAATTTTAAGGCAGTGGAGAACTTGAGTTTTTTTTAAATCTTTTTGTTAGAAAAGTTAAGTGGGGTAACTCCACAATTTAAAAAATTGGAAAAGGAGGTTTAGCCCCTTAACACCCCCATCCATCCAGAAAGTACAGTGCTGGTATTGTTGTAGTGGGGTTTTATCTAGACTGCCCATAGTTAATAATACTTTAAAAAAAAATATTGGGTATAGCGGCCTAGCCCCATAAGCCTTGCTACTTTTATTTCATATTCACCAAATTTTTCTACCTTGTCAAAATTACCAAATTTTCTGTTACTGAATTTTCCTTAATTCAAAATTACAAGTAGTTTTTGTTTTAAATAAATATTAAGTGTAGTTTTTTTTTTTTTTTAATCCATTCTAAAAGAAAATAATGTTTTATGAAATTATGCCAGCACTAACTCCAAAAAATTTTATTTTTGAGTTTTATTGAATTACTAGCAATAGAGCCCGGCGTTGCCCGGGGATGTAACAGTAAGAGATAGATCAAGTATCGACCATCATAAAGACTGAAAAATAAAATTGACAAAGATTATTGTTTAAGGTTGATGGACACGCATGTCTTAATTAGTTTTTTTTTTTTTTTTTTTTTACGAATTGTTCAAACCCAAACTCAAACAAAAACATTGTTTTCAATCATTATGAGTCTATCGATTGAATAGAATTTTATTATAAACAATTGTCTTGTAAATGGAATTTTTAAAGCATTCTGAATGTAAAAATAAAGAAAAAAGTGTACAAGACAATAAGAAACACTACCTGCCAAAAAAAGTGAAGTTTTATTGAAATCGGTTGAAAAATGTAGGAAATTTGATCCCATATATAAATGAAACACACACACACACACACACACACAACCAACCTGGGTTTTATAATAAGTATAACTTGATAACTTGATAGTTGTATAACTCGATATGAGTTGTCCCCTTTCATTAATGCCTCTTAATCGTGTTTTCAAATTGATTTCATGCAAAAACAATTGTTTTTCCAATTTTTGGCACTGTCAGAACCACTGCAAGGTAATTTTACATAGTCCTGTGAAGTTTTGTTGAAATCGGTTGAAAAATGTAGGAAATCCAATCCAATATATAAACGTACAGACACACACACACACACACACACACACACACACACACACACACACACACAATCTGCGTTTTATAATAAGTAAGATTCTTGGTAATGTTCATGATGAATTCTCTGTATGTTCACACTTCACAAATTTTTTCTGATCTATTCAGGGATTTTACTTTATACAACTGTAAAAAATTTTGTGAACAACTCCCAAATTAAAAATTACACAATCTATTGAAAAGGGGGAGGGGGAACAGACCCCCGTAAATATTTCCACAAAATTTTCTAGTAAGTAACCTATTATTAGTATTCATTCAATTCATTCATTACTGAATAAATACTGAAAAATTTGTTTGAATTGGATGATTCTCAGATTTTGGGGAATTATTTTAAAACAGGGTAGCAGTTTTTGGTTTTTTTTTTTGGGGAAAGAAAATGCATCCATTTTTTTTAGTGATTAATAACGTATCGAAAACAATTTGTCTCTTTCTTTCTATCAGAAAAAAGGACAAGTTTTGCAAAATTCTTATCATAAAAAAGAGCAAATTGACGAGAGCATAAGTGACTCCCTTCTGAATTTCCTTCACGTATATCCAGGGGTACACACAGGATCAGCGCGTCTTACCCCCCAAACCTTTAATGAGGTGGGGGTGCTTTTTGTGGTCTTGTTGTGGTTTCTGCCATTTTTTTTCAACACTGTTTTATGGCCATCCACTATTTTTTAATTATTTTTAAATTGATGTTACATTATCAGTCATCAACTAAATATACATCATGTGTCTGCATGGCCGGTGCAGTATGTACTATGCAGGAAACCCCAATGTTGGAGCCCCAAAAGAGCTAGTTTCAGCAGTGATTTTTTTTTTTTTGTAATTTTTACTTTTTTCTACCTAAGTTGTATTGTCAATCATCAACTGTAATAATTGAGAGGGCTGGTGCTTACTACCCTGAACCTCTCAAAAGTGTGAGGGGCTCCATGCCTAGTGGGGGTAGGAGGGCTAATTTCAGTAGCGCTTATTTTTTTAAATTTTAATTTTCTTTATGAGCACCTCTTTTAAATCAATTAAGAGGGTAATATATCTTGGTAAAATCATTTTTATTTTGAGTTCATCTATTAAGAATGATCTCTGAATTTTTTTTTTATTTTACTAATAATAAGACTAACCAGAAGTTCATGGCTAGTAATTAAAATAAAATTTCTAGTCCCTATTTTTAACATTTTTAGAAAGATAAAACCAAGAAAATGATTGCATAAAAAATAAAAATGTTTAAAGATTACAATACATGAAAAATTTCCCAAAACCTAAAATATTGTTTTTTTAAAACAAATTTTTATAGCAATCCCGTTTGTGTTGTGTTGGAATCTTTGTAAAACTTTTTTTCCAGTGGAGATGCATCGTCAATTAATCTTTATGGAAATGTAAAAATTTGCGACTTAAATATTTTTTTGAGTAAAATTTAGTCATGAAAATATTGGTGGTTATTAGAAAAAGAATAACATTTTCTCAGATTTTTTTAAATAAAAGTAAATAATTATGTACTGAAATGTTATAAAAGTAAATAATGAATATGTGCAGAAATTTTCATTTAAATTGGATAATTCCCTGATTTTTGGTAATTTTAAAAATTGCTGCTCTTACTCATTAATTTTTCTTCAAGGTTAGGAAATTTTGAAATCGACATGTGGTAGAAAGGAGAAGGCGTATCAAAGTTTCGCGATAGGGGACCGGAAACTTTAGCGCCGGCACTGGGTACATTTAAGAATTCTAACAATAAATTCATTTTCGATGAAAATTGAAAATGCATACGGAGAACGAATTGTCAAGCCGGATATTTATTTCGTAGTCAACTGTTGATTGTCGGCACCGATTAAAGTTAACCGGTGACGATACTTCGGCGTGTGTCCATTCATTATTTTTCTGCTGGCAAGAAAAATAATCTTTGTTTTTAAAACACGATGGACAAAGTGTACGACAGACTTTATCTGGGCGCCTTAGAAGATGTTTTCAAAATAACTACGATGAAGGAAGCGGGAATATCACATATTCTTTCCATTCTCGACCGATCGTTGCCCGTGTCCATCCGAAAGCAATTCACGTGTAAATATGTGGAAGTTCTTGATCTTCCCGATGAAGATTTGCTGAGCTATTTCGAAGAATGCCTTCGATTTATTGATGAAGGGCGTAACAATGGAACTGGGGTGTTAGTACATTGGTGAGTAGAAAGACGTTTGACTGTACTACAGGGATATAATGACTTGAATAAATAAAAACAGTTAAAATGAAATTGATAAACTAAAAACTAAACTAAAAAGTAAACACACGTGTACGTACATTGCTGATAATTACAGTGGTCAAGAATTAATTTAAAAGAAAACCTAAGAAGAATAACGACTATTAATTTAAATGAAATATCCTCGTGTATTATTTTGCTAAATTCGCCTTAAACTATCAACCTTAGAAATTCTAAGTTTTATTAACGAAAGTAATTAAATAATAGTACACTCATGGCGATCCAATTGTTCAATAACTTGTCATTGGGATGAGATTGCATCACTATTTTAGTCAATTAGGCTTATTTCATTTTTATTCAGCTGTTTTATTTTTAAAAAAATTAATTAATTTGTTGTTTTCGGTCAGGACTGTGAGCCTGGTAAAAAACTAGTCCCATGCCCCTCTTTTTTACGTTTTACCACAGCTAGCTGTTAAATAAATTCAGATTCGTTATTTAGCAGCATATCAACCCGTATTTCATGATTAAATTAAATTTTATTAATTAGTTAGCTGCATTTTTTAGAGAATAATCTTAAAATCAAACGAAAAGAGTGAAAACTTGTTTCCCTTACTAGAAATGTAATCATAACAAATTGTTTTTTTTTTTTTTATATTATTTGTTTTGACAATGTATGACATATTTTCAATTTTACTATAAAATGTACTCCAGTATTGCTGGAATTTTTACTATAAAATTGTATTTTCCTACTTTCCCAGTGTTTTGATTTGGAGTTCACTATCTATCCATAGCTGGGACCCTAACAGGTGCTACCACACCGTGTCAATAAAAGAGGTGGTTCCACGCTCTTCAAAACCTCCAATTTCCTGATCAAAGGCCTTGCTTCTGGATGTAGTTTATCATCATACCTAGAACTAGAATTCAGTTTTTTAAACCATTTCTGCATAACAATGATTTTTTACATATCACATGTATCTTTTAATTGACTTCTATTCTGAGTTCTCTTTTAGATTGGAAACTCAGTAATTTAGTAATATTTAGTAATTTTATTTGATGCTATCACTAGAGATAATTAAAAATTCTGGATAATTGAATATCTAAATTTTTCAAAAAGAGAATGAGGAAAAAATTATTTTCTGATAAATATGGGATTGCTTTGTATTTATTTTAACAGTTTTATTAGTTTTCAGAATGTTGTAAATAAATATAAAATTATTCTTTCATCATATGTTTAAGTTTTATTACAATTTTAATCATTGCTTTTTAAAATGATAAACATTGCCGAGGAGTGAAGGTAGTTAAAATAATAGCGGCATCAAGGGGAAAAAAACATGCTTTTAACATTCCGTTTTTTTTTTTTATGAGGGATGGGGGGTGTCAAGACAAAAATATCCAAGTTTACCAAAATGTTTTTCTTTTTTAAATTTATTATTTATAGTTAATTTTTTCCAATCTTTTCATATTTATTTCTTTATAAATTGGAATCGATCCTTCAAATCTACAAATCAACCATTCACCCTTGCATGGAGTATTGCTGCCATATATGGTCTGGAGCCCCTTCTGTTTGTCTCAGGGTTCTTGATAAGATCCAGAGACGGATATGCAATGTAATTGGCCCTGATCTGACATCTCGTCTGTAGTTGCTCTCTCACAGACATGTCGTCGCCTCTCTCTGTCTTTTTTACAAATACTTTCATGGTAATTGCTCTGATGAGCTGCTTTCGCTGGTTCCCAGACTTCATGAATTCAAGCGTCCTACAAGGCTGGCATCCCGCTCTCACCCTTTCACTGTTGAAACTGTTAAATGTAGTGGTCTCTTCTACTCCAATAGCTTCATATCTCGCACCTCTCGTCTGTGGAACTCCCTACCCATTTCCTGTTTCCCCTGAGAGCTATAATCTCCAACTATTCAAATGTAATGTCAATCGACATCTCCAGTTGGCTTGATCTATCCACTATCCTTCTTCTCATCCTTTCCTCTATCATTCCTATCTGATCTTGCTCCAAATCCTCTGTAACCCCTTGTGTGCTAGTGGCTTCCTGCCTTGCGAGGGGTGAAATGCTTAAAAAAAAATGATAAATATTGCATTACATTAGTCTTAATACAATTGTACTAGTTTTTTTTTTCAGAATGTTGTATATATAAAATTATTCTCATAAATAACAATCCAATAAATAAATAGTGTTTAATATTTTGGTTGTAAATTCTCAAGAATAAAAAAAAAAAATGTATAAATTCACTTTTATTTTGGGTTTAAATTATATTTTAATTTTAATCATTGCTTTTTAAAACAAAACATTACCAAAGAGTGAAGGTAGTTAAAATAAGTGGTGTCATGGAAAAAAAAACATCCTTTTAAACTCTACTTTATTGCAGGCACGAAGGTCTATGTTTGCCAGGTTTTCCTTGTCTGCTGCTTTCAATGAAACATGTATAAAAGAATGGTTCCTGTCAAAATATTCAAAGATACAAAATGTTTAACATGTATAATATTTGATATAGAATGCTTAAGGAGAATTTGGGATTCTTTTTTGTTTTCTTTTTTTTTTTGTGAAATAATAAAATGTCTTTTCTATTTTCTGTTATAAAAGAATCTAATGATACTTGTATTTTATTTACACTATTTACATTGTTCAGACTGTTATCCTCATCTTTTTGCTATATTCACAATGTTTCGGCTGTTTTATGCTCTGGCCTTCTTCTGTTCCTGCCCCAAATTGCCAATACTTGACACCAGAAAACAAACATCACTCATGTTTACCATAACAACAGCAAATTTCATCAGTAGGTAATGATAGAAGACTGTTTTAGTTTTGTTTAAATATCTTTATTTTTAATTATTCAAAAAGTAGAGAACATTATTATATGCAATGATAGAGTTTATTGTGTGAATATAATCCTAGATCATGTATTCAGGAAATGAAACCAATGCAGTTGAAAAATTACATGTATTTTGTTTGTCATTGTTTCACACTGTTGTTGCTTTGTCAACTTGTTTTTCGTTTTAACAACAAAATGGCTTTGATTTAATTATGATTTTTATCTCTTTTTAGCTTGGTTGGTTGTTCTCGCAGTGCAACTATTGTGATAGCTTGGATGATGCGAGAAAGACAAATAAATGTTGAAGATGCTGTTAATTCTGTGAAAGAATGCCGACCTCGAATCAGGTGCTATGTTTCATAACATTTTTTTTTTTTTTTTTTAATTTTATGAGTAAAAATCCTAGATATATGCATTCGTAAAATAGAAACAATGCAATTGAAAAATTACTTAAATATTTGCCATCTTCTTTTGACAGTGTGAATCAGGTCAGCTTTCTTTGAATATTTTTTCTTATAATAGTTTAAAAAGCTGAATTCTTTCTTTGATGCAACTATAGACTTAATTGTATAAGTTACAGATGCAAAAAATGCAACTCTGTTATTCAAATTTATTATAAAATTACAACTAGATCTATTTGGAAAATATGTTAGAATAATCTAGAGGTTATACTGGGGGGGTGTAAACTGCTTGGATCCAGATAGAAAATGAACTGAGTATCTATACAAAAATAGAAATGCGCATGAGACAAGGATACATCTTCTCGCCAGATTTATTTAACCATGACAGCAATGATATCTTAAAGGATCTGGAGACTCTACCAGGATTTATTATCAGTGGTTATAATCATAACAATATAAGATACACAGATGTCACTAGAATTTATTATCAGTGGGTATGCAACTGTAGATTTAATTGTATAATTTACAGATGCAAAAAATGCAACACTATTCAAATTTACATTATTTACATTATTCGGACTATTGTCCTCGTCTTTGTTGCCATATTTATTACAACGTTTTGGCCGTTGTACGCTCCAGCCTTCTTCAGATGGTTGGAATTACCATCATCTTTTAACAGTGTGAGCAAGGTCATCTTTCTTTGAATATTTTTACTTTCAATATTTTAAACAATTCTTTTTGATGCAACTGTCCCCCAAGACTCTATCCTGGGTCCTACACTGTTTCTGATCTTCATCAATGATCTTCCTGATGTCATCAGTTCCCAAGAAGGCATTTATGCAGATGACAATACCATTTACTCCTGTTTCAATAGCAAATCCATTAGAGCTGACAAAGTTAATCTGGCAACTGTTCTTGTAAAGGATCTCAAATCAGTGATTAACTGGGGCAAGAAATAGCTTGTAAATTTTAATGCCTCCAAAACAAAACTGCTCTCATTTAGCTACCACAGAGAAACTTCCCTGTCTGCCATCAGCATGACTGATGCTCAACTCCTGAAGAGTGCCACACTGTACCTTCTTGGCCTCACGTTTTCAACTGACTTGAAGTGGAACAGCTACATTGAATCAATAGCTACATCTCCTGCAAGGAAAGTTGGGTCACTGTATCATGCCATTAAATTTTCCTCGTCATCATCCATCTTGCACATTTACAAATCTACCATTTGTTTGTGTATTGCATACTGTTGCAATATCTGGTCTGGTGCCCATGCAGTTCGTCTTGAGGTTCTTGACAAAATCTAAAGAAAAATCTGCAATTGAAATAGTTAAATGTAACCACTACTTCTATTTCAACAGTTTTTTTTCTCGCACTTCCCGCCTGTGGAACTCCCTTCCGTTTACTTGCTTCCCTGAAAACTACAATCTTCAAAAACTTAAATGCAATGTCAATCAACATCTTCTATCTTCTTGAATCCTGTTCAACTTTTATCCTTTCCTCAATCCCCCACACCCTAACAGTCTTTTCTCTTAATTACATTCTCTGTAACTTCCTGTGTACTAGTGGCATTCCCAACTTGTCTGGGGTGAAATGATTAAAAAATTTAGATACATAAAATACAATCAATTGGGCTACAATATTATTCAAATTTTGTCATTTTTTATTGTATAAGTGGTTAATTTGTAGTATAAGCACCAAAAGCCGCCAGTATTGAGAATGTACCATTCTCGTGTGGAATTGCCTGTTTATTTTGGAAAATGACATTAAAACATTGCACTTGATTACTGTTTTCGATTTATTGTCAATTTAAGTTTGATCTCTTTTGCATTTTCCGGCTGCTATTACTGGCGTTGTTTATATATACATTCCTCTAGAAATAATGCACAGAAGCTTACTTAGTTAATGGCCTTTTTACAGCTTTTCGTATCTTACTGGTCTTGAATACTGCGCAATTTTCATGGATGTTATGTTAAAATGCGCTTATTTTTTAAATGAAGTTTTAAATGAATAGTATTTTTTCTTTACTGTCCTTAATAAATCTGCTTATAGCTAATGAAACAGAACCTCACCCCAAAATTTAATTTATGAAGCTTTAAATTCAATAAACTTTCACGACATATAAAAAAATAAAAATCATTGAAAAAAAGGAAAAAAATCCTTTTTTATTTTTCAGGCATGTAATTTTTTTAAAAATTTTATTTTAATTGTCAGATTTTACGTTTTTTCATGCATTATCTTGCGCATTTATTTCAAACTTTGCATACTGTGCAGTAATGTAGACAAGTGAAGCTTCCACGCAGCATGACTACTTAAGGAAAACGTATGTAAACAAAGCCAGTAATGGTGGATGTTCTGTGTATGTGTGGAGGAAGAAGTAACTTACATTGTCCATAACTTCTAAACAGAAATCGAGCACAATGTTTTAATGTCATTTTTGAAATAACCAGGCAATTTCACATGAGAATGGTACATTCTCAATACCGAGTGCTTTTACTGCAAATTAATCGTATCACTTACGTTACTTTTCTAGAAACGTTTTTACTTTAATGGTTTAAAAATCAGAATTTTGACAATAGATTTACTTTACAGTTAATAAATTTAGGCAGCAGTCCTTCATTTAAACATGTTCTATTAAAATTATCATGGAGAACTATTTTTGACTTCCATCAGTATGGCTTCCATCAGTATGGCTGATGCTAACCTCCAGAAGAGCAACTCATTGTGCCTTCACAGTCCCATCTTTTCCAAAATTAATTATATTGAATCAATTGTTAGGTCTGCTGCTCGGAAATTTGTTCTCTGTGTCATGCTAGACAATTTTTTCCACCAAAATCCATCTTGTTCATTTATAAATCTACCATTCTTTCATACATTGAATACTCCGGCCATATCTAGTCTGGTTTTCCTGCTATATATCTTGAGATTCTTGATGAAATCCAAAAAAGAGTCTGCAATGTTATCGGATCCTGACATGGCATCTAAGCTTCAGTCACTTCCTCATCACTTTCATGTGGCTTCCCTGTACCTTTTCTATAAATATTTTTGTGGCAATTGTTGTAATGAGCTTTCTTTCTTGGTGATTCAACTGCATGGATTTAGACATAATACTAGACTGGCAATTATGTCTCATTATTTTACTGTTCATGTAACCGTAAGCTCTATTCAAATCGTTTCTTTTCTTGCTTGTGGAACTTTCTTCTGGAATTTTCTTCTGGCCTCTTGTTTTCCTGTTTCCTATGATCTTTAAATGCAACGTCAATCACCATCTTCTGTCTTTGCAAAACCTGTTCTTTTATTGTCTTGTCTTCTCACTAATGTTTTTCTTCTTCTTTCACTCTCAGTAACTCCTTGCATCTTAGTGGCTTTATTGCCTTACTTGGGATGAAATGATTTTAAAAAAGCATAAAACAGACTAGGAATGGTCTGTTAAGCCTTTTGGTGAGTTTTCTGTGGTTTTGAATGAGATATTTGATGCCAAGTGGAAACTTGTAAAAGAATGGTGAATTGCTGCCTATTCTGGGTGGGAGCAGCCCAGACCTCACTTTCCATCCTCAACTTAGTCCAAAAGCATTTATGTGGCCTTGTGGGTAATGAATTGCTTACTATCCTTCAACTACTTTCCTACATTGAAACACAAGAGGTCATCCTGGGTAAGACAATAAACTACATCTGCGTCCTGGGTGAGATGATAAACTACATCTGACAGTAAGGTTTTTGATCAGGAGGTTTTGAGGAGCATGGAACCACCTCTTAATTGCTGGTGTTCCCAGCTCCACCCTGACTTGGGGTGGTAGCACCTATCAGAGTCCCAATTATGGGCAAATAGTTACCCCCTCCCCTAAAAGTGGTCAAACCACTATGAAAGTATAAAAATAGGTTTCAATGCCAGAAATACATTTTTTGAAAAAAAGTATTACCAGCAACAAATTTTTTTGAAAAAAAAAATATTACCAGAAATTTTTTGCCAAAAAATATTACCTGCAATAAAATTTTTTGTAAAAAAAATATTACCAGCAATACATTTTTTGGAAAAAAAATATTACCAACAATACATTTTTTGGAAAAAAAATATTACCAACAATACATTTTTTGGAAAAAAAATATTACCAACAATACATTTTTTGGAAAAAAAATATTACCAACAATACATTTTTTGGAAAAAAATATTACCAGCAAAAAAAATCTTGTCTGCATTAAATAACCCATTGAGGTTGGTATGCTATAAACCAAACCAAACATACAAGAGGATTGAATTTGCATATCAATTCAGCTCTCTTTTTCTTTGCTTCTAATGAAATCTTTCTGTTTCTTAGCACTTAGCTTTTGGAAGGCCTCTTTCACAAGTCCAATGTGCTTGGGTTTTGATGTTACATTTTCCATCCACTGTTAAAAGCTTCATATAATGAATTTTTTGAAGGCATAACATTTCATATTGTTGGGTATCAATCCTTGCTTAGTTAGGACAGTTTTGTGAAGTTATGAGCATGTGAAGACACCCAATAATACATTCATCAAAAGTGTTGAGGACTTCAAATATCTTGGATCTCACATAATAGATTCCAAAAAGACTTCAACATCCAGGAAGCTCTTGCATTGGATAAATGTAACAAACTTCACAAGATTTGGCACTTGAACCTTCCATCCTACTTAAAAGTCCAAATCTTTCAAACATTGATTGAATTAGTCCTACTATAAGGATCAGACATTTGGACGTTATCTGCTCGTCTTGAAAGACAACTGGATGGTACATAAACAAATTTACTTAAAAAAACAATTCAGAATATGAGTTGGAGATCCCATGCAATGCTTAACACAGTTTACAGAAAACTGAGACCAATCTCTCTTAAGCTCAAACAAAAATGATTACAGTTTGTCGGCCACTGCCATTGAGCGGACAGGGAAATCATCTCATCTTTACTTCTATGGCACCCTTCTGGAAGTATCTCCTCACGAAAATTGACTTACCCAGACAAACATAGCTTGGGACAGAGAGACATTGGGGATAGCAATGCAGGACCGAACAGCGTGGAAAGGGATTGTCGGTGGAGTTCCAACCAACTATAGGAAGGTCAAAGAATGATGATGAGGATGTGATAGAGAGCTTCTTAGAGAAATCCAAGTTTGAACTGCAGTCTGGTTCATCACATTTACTTACATGCAAATATCCTTGGTAAAGGTATGAATCCATCTCTTCACCCCTGCTATGGGTTAAATAGTGGGACTGGAAAAATCATTGCTATTCTAAGAAAAAATTCAGTCATACCTTTCTGATGCAACACATGCAGCATCTGAAGGGATGAATAAAAGAGTGATGCAACACATGTGGCCTGTACTTTTCAGTATGTCATGGGAGAGTGATATAACACATGCGGCATATACTTTCCAGTATATCATGGGAGAAGGATGAACATGTGAAAGGTGTCCGTATATAAGAGAGTGATGCAAACACAGCCTGTACTTTCCAAATAATCATGGGATTTGTTTCACATGATTCTTTCCATATTCTTGGGAGAGTGATTGAAACATGCAGCCTTACTTTCCAGTATATCATGGGAGAAGGATGCAACACATGTAGCATGTACTTTCCAATATATATGGAAGTGATGCAATCACATGCAGCCTGTACTTTCCAGTATATCATGGGAGAAGGATAAACACATGTAAAACAATATATGGAGTGTGATGCAATACATGCAGCCTGTACTTTCCAGTATATCATGGATAAGGAAATACAAAAATTATGTTTTCCATTATATCATGGGAAAAGGAAAAAATAGCATGTACTTTCTCATATCATTTTTATGATATAAAACATGCACAAAACATCAAGTATATCAATGGGAAAGTGAAAAAAACACATATTGCCATTTTATTTTCATTTATATCAAAAAGTTCTATGCAATACATTTCAGTATATTGCAGTGGAGTAATGCAGTACAGGTAACATATATCTTTCCTTACATCATAGTGTAATACAATACAAAAAAAGCATTGGTCTTTGTAGTTCTTTTCTTGTTAATCATTTCCACTCAAGTAAGGCAATAAAACCACTAAGATGCAATGGGGAGGGTTACTCAGTGTTAGAGAATATGAGAACAAATACTATTAAGGAGAGCAAACAATAAAAGAACAGAAATTAAGAAGATAGCAATTGACATAGCATTTAAATTTTTGAAGATCAAAGTTGACTGGGAAGCAAGAAGCCAGAAAAGAGTTCCACAAGTGAGAAGTGCAAGAAAAGAAACTGAGCATTTATTTAAATATTTGTATCTATAAAAAAAACGTATAAACAAAAAATGTCTTAAAAGAAATAATTGTCAGTTTTTTGTCCAAAATAATGTGTGATTGATATTTCAATGAATCTTATATTTTTGCTAAAAATGTAAATTTTTTTACCTTTTATTTTTTTTTTTTAAAACATTTTTAGGCCAAATGATGGGTTTAAATTTCAACTGGAATTGTTCTCTCAGATGAATTATCAAGTAGATTCCCAAAATTTACTCTATAAAAAATTTAAACTTGATGCCATGGTTTTGCAAATGCAAGAGGGTGAGTCTTTCTAGAACCTATATAAATGTTTTATTGAGTAGCATGTCACATGCTTATTTATTATCACAACTTATTATCACAAATTATACACCAGTCCCTAATTAGGTAGATTAACTTCAACACTGAAGTCTGTAAAAAATATTTTTGCTGTATTCCTTATGCATATTTGATGACGGAGGGGATGCAATTCCCCATCAGCTAAAATTAACTCATGAAGAAAACAATTGTGAAAATGAAATGAAAACATTTTTTTCCCAGTTAGGGTCTGAATAACAGGTTTTGATGTTATTTTGGGAGATTTATTAAAAAATCAATTTAAAATCCATGCAAGGCAGTAAAATTTTTAAAATATATATGGTTAAAAATAAAAATAAATGAAGAGTTAAAAAAGGAAAATATAAAAAAAAAAGAACAGAAATGGAGTAATCGAAAAGGACATCATATACATTTTAGATTGAATTTAAATTTTGCAAAATGTCTGGAAAGCATGGATTTGGAAGGAGTTCCAAATGCAATTCTGTGAGAATAAGGAACTGTTAATGCATGATTTAAAATACAAAAAGTTTAATGAGTTATTTCACAGTAAATTTATTATAGTTTATAAATAATCCTAAAATAGGTTCAATGTACAAAACATTAGAAACTGATAATGGAAACATGAAGATAATAAAGTTTTGACTGAGGATAAAATAATTTATGACAAAAAATGTGTCGCTAAAATTTCGCCCAAATCGACTGAATATTAGTATTTTAGGAAACTGAAATTCATCATTGAAACAATAAAAAGTTATTTTTTTGTGGGTTTCTGAGCCCGTGAACCTAAAATGAAAAATAAAAAATATATTGAAAATTTAAAATAAAAGGACAGATTAAAACCTCTTGAAAATAGACACCGTCCTTTGATACCTTGGCAAAAAAAATTTTAAAAAGGCAGAGAGTTCAACTTTGATCTGATCATGGAAATAGATTGAACAAATCATTTCTCTTATTACTCCTATCATTAAGGTGGGAGAGTCTATTAACTATAGAATAGGTGTTTTTCAAAATAACAAAAGTGCAAAGACCATTATTAAAATTCCAAAGAAAAAGTTCTGAATTGTTTTTGTAGATAATAAACAAACATTTGAGAAAAAAAGTTTCCGGGTAGGTGTTTTTTTTTTGAAAATGGTTTCAATGAATTTCATTTCATTATATTGGGAGAGAAGGAAAAGTTTAACATAATTATTTGAATCCATTGTTAATGGAAATACAAATCAATCAGAACTGGCTGAGATTTTGCTTAATGGGACGTCCAGGTTTTCCACTGAAAATACATGCAGGGACATTTAATCCATGCATGATTTACTTTTATGCAAATTGTTTGATATTAAATAATTTTGATCAAACAATGATTCTAAGTTGACCAAATATTCAGTCTTAACAACCAGTCAGAAGGAATCCAATTAACTTGATTTTGAAAAAATATTTAATTCAAGCTGCAGAATTCCTTCAGGAAAATATGGGTTTGAACCATGTGCTAAAACTTTTTTAGCAATTTTTCCAAGTATTACTGTTAAAACCCAATTTTGAACTCAAACTAAATTTTCACATTCAGTAGCAACCTGGGCACAGTTGGAAAATACATATATTCATGTTTTTTATATACATATATAAAAAAAGGCTTAAACATTAATATTCCATGGTCATAATTTATTAGATATTGGAATCAATAAGCCAATCCAATTCATCATTAAAACAAATCCAAAAAGAAAACAGAAAAAACAACTCGGAAATAAAAACAGAATTTATAAATGTAAGATATGAGGGTATTGAAAAATTACCTGGATTCTATCCTCTAGTTGAATTTTTATTAAAAAATTTGAAACATGTATTTGTATGCTCCTATGTATATTTACCACTAATATTATTTATATATATATATTTATATATATATATTGGATGTTATCTCCAAATTGTCCAAATAGTGTAACAGCATTACATAATTGTCCATACCACAAAATGTTTAATATGTTAAAAAAAAAACACTGGGTTTTGATTTCTTTTTTTTTTTTTTGGATAAGACATTTATCCTTTTGACAATAATTATTTGTCATAAGAAAATTTGAAAAACTCTTTGAGTTATTCAATAAAAAGAGAACAGGTTAAAATCATTTTGTGTCAGTTTCATTATGTCTTCCCAACTGAGCAAATGGTGAGAGGAAAAAAAGATCATTCAGGCTTTCAGTAATAGTACCAACATTCATATGATTGTCTTCCATTGGAAAAGTCTATTTAACAACGATTTAAAAAAGCAAAATGAATAATTTTAAAAAAAAGGGGAATGAACTAAGGAAAACTGAATCAGGATATTCATATTTAAAAGGCATCATCGTTTTCCTTTAGAATTTAAATACATTCTTGTTTGTTTAAAGTATAAATTCAATAGCGTTTTAAAAAATTTTGGAGAAATTCAGTTTGATATTTTTAAATTGAAAAGATACAATTAAAAAAAATTTTAATCTAACAATTAAGACAATTTTGGTGTTTTACAGCTATATATATATATATATATATATATATATATATATATATATATATATATATGACAAATATATGGATATAGATCCGACAGTATTTTTATAAAAATATAAAAAAAACAAACAAAAAAATTTAATAAATTATGCTGTTTTAATGTTTAATGTCAACGTCGGACGTTCTGGTCTAATAGACCATCTTCAGGACATATTCATAAAAATAATTAACATAAACCATATATAAATTAATGAAAAAATATTTTTCATTCAAAATACTCAAAATTTAGCATAATGTTTTTCACAATATCACCCAATATTTAAAAATATGATCATATTTAAATGGGAATTGAAGAATCGTTTTAAAAGATAAAGTTTATATTTTGAATGAAATTGAAATTTTTTTATGTCCATCGTCTTTTTTCATGTTGAATTTGTATATGGTCTATGTTATAAATTATGTTTTATGAATATGTCCTGAAGATGGCCTAGATCTATTAATAAAACGTCCTGAGGTTGACATTAAACATCAAAAAACAGCATAATCGCATATTAGGATTTTTGTTTGTTTTTTCAGTATTTTTTTATATATATATATATATATATATATATATATATATTATTTATATATTTTGCGTCCTTCAAATATATTTTAAAAAACAAATGAATTTTATTTATATTATTTATTTATTTACATGTGAACTGTTATGTTTTTTTTTTAATGGGGGCTGAGATAAGATGGAAAAAAATTGTGTCAATATTAAAAAAAAATAAAATTTAATATTATTAAAATGCAGAAATTGTCCTCATTTTGTTGTTTTTTTATCACTTTTATTTCAGCTGTTTATTATTCAAGCCTTCATCAGGTATGAATTGAATCCAGATAAAAAAAAAATTGCCTAAAATTATTTCATTTCTGCTGTCCAGTTTCAGGGATGAAATTTTGGTTTTGTAAATTTTTTTTATGTACAAAATAAAATTTATATATCCGACTATCCACTGGAGTTTAATTGACATGTACTAAAAAATCGAGGATTGAACCCCAAATTACTATATCACCAAATTCACAATGTTATAATTTAATTAATGGGAAAATCCTGAACTTGAATTTAGTTTTGTGGGACATAAGTAGAAGAGCAGAAGGTACAATGATTGAAACATTGTCATAATGAAAACAAAAATGAAGAAAATAGTTTATTTGTAATTCTTAATAGGAATATATACTGCTAAACTGAATTGAGAGTCAAATGTAAGTTTAGTTTAATTTTATTTTTATAACGTGAAAAGGAAATTTTTTCAGGTTGGGCTAATGCAAGAGCAAATGTCATTTCTCAGACTGCATTCTGATTTGTTTAAATATGAAAATATATATATATATATATATATATATATATATATATAAAAATTTTTTTTTTTTTTTTTTTTTTAAAAGTAAAAGTCTCAATGATCCAGAATTGTTAAAGGGGTTATGGTGAAATAACTTATATACATGGAATTTTTTTGGTCTGTTTACAATTCAAACATATCTGCTTCTGAGTTTTTTACATTGAGCTCTCTGGATATCATCCTCCTTGGGATAGAATATATGGATTACCTAAGTTACAAATAAACTAATATATATATATATATATATATGTATAGTAATGATTACAATATGTAAATCTGTACGGAATTTCCAGGATGATATAGATCCAGGAAGAGCTCTGTCAAAAGACAGAGCAAAATTATTATTATTAAAGAATATCAAATACTTATTAATAATATACATATATATATATATATATATATATAGACAAGGTGGAAAATTTAAGAGACATATACATCTTTTGTCCTCATCTTGACTTTTTTTATTAAGGCAAATGGCAATATATTTGAATTGATAAAAAGACTAAAGGATGAAAATTTTAAATAAGATAAGTTTTCCTTTTGTCATTTAAGCAAAATAATCTTCTTTTACAGATATACTTTATCTGAAATTTTTGCATATACAGTCAACAACAAAATTATTTGTAACCCATAAATTTGGAATATTTTTATCCATTTCTCAGGTTTTTTATATGTTAATTTCTAGGTTTTTTATATGTTAATAAGCCCCCAAAAAGGAATATAAAATTCAATTTTCAGAACAATAGGTTAAATACAACAAATATGACACATGAATTATGCAAAATAGGAAAAGACAAACTTATTCGTACAGTAGAAAATAACGTTTTAAATTAGGTACCTCCACGAGATCGCTAAAAAAGAGCATAGCATGATGAAAAAGACGCCAAACTTGACAAAAACAAAATTTTATCGTCTAAATGTTTGTTATTATTAAGAGGAAAGGTCAAAAGTATTTTTGGGGTATTTTTTTTCCATTTTTTAATCGTTCTAGCACGTCCGAAATTTTCGTTAAAAATCTGGTTTTTTTTGAGTCAGCAAAATTGACCATTTTTTTCCATCTTAAAAAAAAAACTGGAAATCTGACTTTGGAATTTTTTAAATATCAATTATCATTTTTT